CGCTGTGCAGAGTTGCGTCCCTTGGGCACGCCAGAAACCTATGAATGTGGGTTCGAATCTCGGTTCGCCCCGATTATGTTTCTAGGTTTGTCTGCACCATACCCGTGCTCGTGGGTTTCACCGAAGTGGTAAACGTCCGAGACCTGCATCACTTCGGGCTTTCCTCCCACATTAAGCTGACACGCCGTGATATAACTGGAATACTGTTAAAAGCGGCGTTAAACCAAACTCACTCACTCACTCACTCCTCCTTACGTCCATCAATCCTTACAATATTTCTTTTCAGTGAATGTTTTAACGTACTTGAAAATCCTTCCTGTATTTCTTTTTTGGTTTCTCGTGTTTCAGGAAGAGGTTAAGTACATACATACAACATATACCATTAAACCACTGCACCTGCACGTGTATCGAGACGCACAAAAAAAATGGTAACATCAAAATCAGATCTTCGCATGATGAAAATGTCTCATGTCCTCCCTGAAAGAAATCAAGAAATACATATCTTTCGACCCCGGATTTTCCAAGCTGATGACCGAATTTAACGAATACGTGTACAGAAATCGTACACTTCCGTTTCTTAGCTTGTGTCAGCCTCCCTTCGACACAGACATTCTGAAACAACTCGTGGCAAGTTATGTAAGGGAGGTAACTCGATACGCATTCGCATCCCCCAAGTATTCAAGCCACACAACTACTATAAAACACTATGTGCCATTTTGATAGCTTCAGGTCTTTTTAAAAAAAGGATAATTTCATACTCTTTATAAAAAAATCGGTTACCGACATATCAAATTCACAAAAGACAGTTTAAACCACTGCTATTAGTGGGTGTTTATTTAACCTTATATTTCAGCTGTTTCAAGATTTAGATATAGACGAATATAAACCAACGTAGAATATAAACTGAGAATATGTCCATTTTGTCTAAGAAAGGTAGAGAGCGTGTTGAAAATGGAATTCATGTCTTACTAGTTTGTGGACTGAGAAATACTTTCATATCCAAATATATGGTATGGTAATATGGTAATTTATTCGAACCAATGGTCAGCCTGTCTGTCTAAAGCTGAGATCGGTGCAGATTGGAATCATTTTTCAACACTGCATCACAGAAAATCTGAAAATGCTTCAAAGTGTTCGTCGGTAACCAAGACGTGTTCAACAGGCAATGTGTCAAGTGATGTAAGGGAGGTAACTCGGTCAAAGTGTTCGTCAGTCAATGCACTGCATCCCTCTACAACTAAAAATGCACATAATTTGATATTGAGGCAGTTTTGACTGTCTGCAATGCAGTGCAGCACCACAAACGCTTAAAAGTAATCTTCAGTCTCTGTACGCTCCGTTCATCTACAGAATAAGTCATTCATAAACTCTGAAAAGTGCAGACAGTTGATATCTTTTCGATAAGATTAAGACACTTCCTGGTCGGCTCAAACAGAGGTCAACACAATCAGATATGTCCACGTGGTTTGCCATCAACGTATCGGGTAAGTCACAGTCAATGGGAACAAGGCTCGGGACAACTGTCTGGCCCAGATAAATAATTCCTCAAATTTTAAACAAAAAGTTGTTTGACTCCTCCTTTTAAGGAAAACAAGTGTATGTCTTGAAGCAGTATCTGAAAAAAGATATGCTCCCTCACCATCAACCCTTAGTAATAAAACCGCTTCAACTGCTAAGTCAAAAGACTAACGCGTAGCCTCCGCAAAATATATAATTTGGATAGAAACAAGCAACTATATTTCAATTGAAAAGGAGCCCCAGTGAGATTGGAGATTCGGAAAAAACTAGACTTGCTTCATATGGCGTTATCGCATTACAGTAAGCGTGGAAGGGGACATAGTATGTTTCAGTGACTATGAGACAGTCTACTGAGTCAAATACTATGACAGGGATAATTCTGAGATTGGAGATTCGGAAAAACTAGACTTGCTGCATATGGAGTTATCGCATTACAATAAGCGTGGAAGGGAAAATAATATATTTCAGGGACTAGGAGACAGTCTACTGAGTCAAATACTATGACAGGGATAGGTCTGGGAAGGGCCCTTGGACTTTTGGCCCATAAATATAAAAAAAAACGCCCATATTTTCAAATGCAGTGGAGATTAATAACATATAGGCATCGCATATAAATTGTTTAAAATTTCCCTCAACAGCCACATCAGACAATTCCCAGACTGATCCCCGATATGATGTTTATCTCTTTGACAGAAGCCGATTACATTGAGTATTCAGAGTCGGGGTCTGTTTTAGAGGTCGCAACGATGGAGATAACACCGTGTAGGCCTTGACTGGAGGGGCTGGGATCGTGGGACATTGCCAAGTCTTAAAAGAAGAAAAGGATTATTGAATCCCAACAAGGATTCTCACAAAAAGGGACTGTCAGTCATGGCAGTAAATATATGTCACGCTGACCCCGAAATACACTTTCCCGTGATAGTTGATATGTCCAAAACGACAATAAGTTCACAGATAAAACTAACACATGATAAAGTAACCTAAACAAGCATTTGTCACAGAGTGACGAAATATCCCCCGCCATATACACCATAGTACCAAATATGAAGACAATCCAGCGATTAGTTCTTGAGATATTGTGGCAAAACCGTTTTCCAACTCCAAAAACAGATTTGCCTGCTGTGACCTTGAAAATGGGGTCAAGGTCACCAAATCTGACAGGTGTATGCGGTGTCTGTATATACACTATAGTTCCAAATATGAAGACAATCCAGCGATTAGTTCTTGAGATATCGCGGCAACACCGTTTTCTAACTCCAAAAGCAGATTTGCCTGCTGTGACCTTGAAAATGGGGTCAAGGTCACCAAAACCAACTGGTGTCTGCGGTGTCTGTATATACACCATAGTTCCAAATATGAAGACAATCGAGAGGTTTAGTTCTTGAGATATCGCGGCAACACCGTTTTCCAACTCTAAAAGCAGATTTGCCTGCTGTGACCTTGAAAATGGGATCAAGGTCACCAAAACCGACTGGTGTCTGCAGAGTCTGTATATACACTATAGTTCCAAATATGAAGACAATCCAGTGTTTAGTTCTTGAGATATTGCGGCAACACCATTTTCCAACTCTAAAAGGAGATTTGCCTGCTGTGACCTTGAAAATGGGGTCAAGGTCACCAAAACCGACTGGTGTCTGCGGTGTCTGTATATACACCATAGTTCCAAATATGAAGACAATCCAGTGTTTAGTTCTTGAGATATCGCGGCAACACCGTTTTCCAACTCTAAAAGCAGATTTGTCTGCTGTGACCTTGAAAATGGGATCAAGGTCACCAAAACCGACTGGTGTCTGCAGAGTCTGTATATACACCATAGTTCCAAATATGAAGACAATCCAGTGTTTAGTTCTTGAGATATCGCGGCAACACTGTTTTCCAACTCCAAAAGCAGATATGCCTGCTGTGACCTTTAAAATGGGGTCAAGGTCACCAAAACTGACTGGTGTCTGCGGAGTCTGTATATACACCATAGTTCCAAATATGAAGACAATCCAGTGTTTAGTTCTTGAGATATCGCGGCAACACTGTTTTCCAACTCTAAAAGCAGATTTGTCTGCTGTGACCTTGAAAATGGGATCAAGGTCACCAAAACCGACTGGTGTCTGCGGAGTCTGTATATACACCATAGTTCCAAATATGAAGACAATCCAGTGTTTAGTTCTTGAGATATCGCGGCAACAAACAGGTGGGACGTACGGACGGACGTACGGACGGTCGTGAATACTATATCCCCCGCTTCGCGCTTTCGCGCGGCGGGGAATAAAAATCGACCAATCTGGAGCCTGAGCGAGCAAGTGCATATCGATGTCCTATTATAACCAGGGAGTCTATATACCTTTTGGAAAGTCTCCCTGTTATAACCGAGTTAGCGAGTGAGTTGGACTAGACGCCGCTTTCAGCAGTGTCAGTTATATAACGGCGAATCCATTCAATGTGGGAGGAAAGCCCGAAGTAATGTAGGCCTTGAACATTTATCGACTTGCTGAGTTAAGGAGTTGTGTTTACACCGCATTTATTCCGATTCTGTCCCAACGTGTCAGCTTTATGTGGGAGGAAAGCCCGAAGTGATGCAGCCCTTGAACATTTATCGCCTTGGTGAGTTAAGGGGTTGTGTTTACACCGCATATATTCCGATTCTGTCCCAACGTGTCAGCTTTATGTGGGAGGAAACCCCGAAGTGATGCAGGTTTGAGACGTTTACCACTTTGGTGAAACCCACGAATACAGGTATGGCGCAGGAAAATAACCAGGCTAAATATCGGATTCGAACCCCGACCATAGGATCCTGTCATGCTGATGGGACGCAACCCATGCCCCGCTGATACACCTGCGGTCCACTGATCCTCTTTGCGACCACCTCCCGAGAGAAGCAAAATGAATTTTACTTCCACGCAACCACAAAGCCACTTTATCAAGATCCATGCGTCACTATAATCAACCCACAAATCACCGACAGCTATCCCTTGAGTCCACCATGTACACGCCTGAATCACAGTGTTGGCTTTCAAACATCTTACAGTATTTGTCATATCACGGCCTGTCATCTTAATGTGGGAGGAATGATTTTTTTGGCTTTTTTGTTTGTTGTTTAACGCCACACTCAGCACTATTCCAGCTACATGACGACGGTCTGTTCTGTAAGTAATCGAATCTGGACCAGACAATCCACTGATTGACATCATGAGCATCGATCCACACAATTAGGATACGATGACATACATGAACCAAGTCAGCGAGCCTGACCACCCGATCCCGTTACCGAAGTCTTAGATCTTAGATGTCTACAACTATAGTGAAACACACAACCGTGTGTATTGGGCTGACAAAACTGGAAATAAATCAGGGTGAACTGAGAGTCGAAACCTCAAATATAGGTTTCTGGCACACCATACGGAAGCAACTAAGCACAACAAATTGCAGTGCCTTGGCGACGGGGAAAACTTGCCCTTGTCCAGTATAAATACAAATCACAAAGAAAGATATCACCATTAATTCACAGACATGTATTCCGTCATATTTATTCCATTTCTTGTGAGTGTACTCCAAGAAAGGGAGTATTCACTCTTGTCATCTATACATTAAAACATCTATAGAAAGGTAAACGTAGTTATGAATGCCATACAGTAATACATTTTTCTGAAAACATCTTTTGTTTAATGTGTAGCCAATCAAATGGTCCTTTACCACAACACTGCATGAAGGGGTAACTATATAATTGATGATAATGGGGTGATATTATTAGATACTTAACAAATTTTGAGGCTACAAAATAATAACAAGCAATTTATGAAACCAGACGAATAAAATCGTACAGAAGTACAGACAAAATAGCAAAACATCGCCTATACAGATACATAGATCGGAAACAATTAATTTACCTTGAAGACAAATATTTCTTAATGAACAAAGATGATCGCGAATGTCTGAATACGCTATTGATAAGAAGCAATGTACACAAACTGGTCAATCAATATGTACAATTAGTCTATACGCAGTGTCATATACATTATACAGTCACGTGTTGGAAGTGCAGCGAATATACAGCAAAGTGTACTGACGTTAATCCTTGATTCAACAATCACTTCCAAAATTATCATTCCAGGTACAAAGGTGGACCCTTGTAGCATGTCAGTTAGTTCATTTCACATTCGTGTCGATAAGGAATATTGACAAGATTAAAATTCACGTTTCACAGAACGTTTCATCAATTCGTGTGGTAGAACCTCTGCACGGATAGTCCCTCAAGCACTATGGAACTCGCAGGTGGGAAGAACACACGTAATAACTGTCCCGTCAAACAGTATGCACATCGCAATCCGTTGATACGGCACTTTCCAGCACTTCTATCGTATCTTGGATCTTGGCTTTCTTCATGACAGTATCGAACTTTGCAGTCGGGCCACTCTCATAGAACTGACGCTTCATGACACCAAGAGGGGTGACGACGGGTGGAAAAGGTAAATGCTTAGTGCAGTTATCTTTTAATATCTCCACGTCTGAACTCTCCTTCACAGTTCTTTCAGCTTTTTTCTGAAGCTCGGTTAAAGATTGCAGTATATTTCTGTGTTTTGCGGTAGCGACTTCGTTGAATCTGCTCTCGTACTCCTTGTTGAGATTATTAAAACATGTCGTCTCTTGCTTTTGGACAAGATCGTGAATTTTCTTGAATTCCTTTTTGGCCTTAGCCTTAGAGGTTTCAAATTCTATCATAAGCTTAAGACTCTGGTGTTGAGAGAAGTTGTAGTTTTGGTTAGCGATCGTCTTAGCTGTGCGAATCTTGGCGAGTTGTTGATCAATACGACCCCTCTCTTTCTCCGCCTCTGCTCTAAGGGGGACAACTCCATCACACTTGCGGTGATCAACACCCGCACAAACATGACAGATAGTTTTCCGACAATCACGACAATACAACACAATCGGGTTACCGGGGTGCCGCGTGCAGATGTCGCCGTTTTTCTTCTCTTTCTTTATACTGTCGACCAAAGATCCTAGAAGAAAGTCCGTTTTGAAACTGTTTGCCCATTCTGTTCGGGCGAGGGTAATTCCCCCGACCGTCGTCGGCTTGCTGACCTGCCTGCACGTGGGGCAACTGACACCGTCGCTTAAACCTTTAGTGATGATGTAATTATGCAAGCAGTCCCGACAGTACCGATGCAGGCACGTTAGAAGCTTTGGTGTGCGGAAGTAATCATGACATATCGAACAAGTTATGTCGTCTTCGAGTTTTGCTAGAAGGTCCGCCATGTTTGTTTCCAACTGCGGAAATCCAAGTTATAGTCTATTCTTTACTATGAACCTATCTATAGTCTGTTCCGAATTATAAGGGAATACTCTCTTCCTAGTCTGTCTCACAGACCCTGATACAAATATATATCAAATACAGCCCATGCATGTCTATAATATTTGGCAAGTCTAGATTACTGCAGTATCAGGCAAATGAAGAGAGTCACTGGGCTCCCTTTAATTATATTTTTATTAAAATAACTGAACAACTGGGGTTTTCTGTACGATGTGTTCATTTCAGAGACTAGATGTTAGTCTTACTCTCTTCCGTATGTTATCCAGTCAAGATAATCATGACATCATGATGGAGGTCCAACATTTATACTCCAGTCACGAATCCCAGTCCTGCCTTCTTAACCTACCATCACAGAATCATAGAATAAACGCCGTGTCAACCGACGTTATGAACAGTGAGTGAGTTGGGTTTAACGCTGATTTTAACAGTATTCCCGTTATATCACGGCGTGTCAGCTTAGTGTGGGAGGAAAGCCCGAAGTGACGCAGGTCTCAGACGTTTGCAATTTCAATGAAACCCACGAGCACGGGCATGGTGCTGACAAACCTAGAAACATAATTGTGGCGAACCGAGATTCGAACCCAAAATCATAGGTTTCTGGCGTGCGCAAGGGACGCAACTCTGCACAGCGAATCCCGGAGCCTAAGACGACTGGGCCACCCGTGCCCCCCGTTATGAAAAGACACCGAGGAGAAGTTTTTGAAACGATAACGAAAAAAGCGTGACACAAAACAAGACCTGCCTCGGATAAATGTAATAAATTCAAACGCAATGTATACCAATATTCGAGGATTTATGGCGAGTCCCGTATGCTACCATGAAAACACAAACAAAACAGAGCAGGAAAACGCTTTTGCGAGGCATTAACAATGTGAAAAAGATCTCTGTGGGCACAAAGGGAGTTCAACTCAAACAATACAGCATAAAACAATACAGTGAGTGAGTATGTCTGATTAATACGCCGCTTTTAGCAATATTCCAGCAATATCACGGCAGGGGACACCAGAAATGGGCTCCACACATTGTACCCATGTCGGGAATCCAACCCGGGTCTTTGGCGTGACGAGCGAACGCTTTAACCACTAGGCTACCCGACCGCCCCTAAAACAATACAATAACTGCAATAGTTTGGCACAGAAGCTCATTATGGCAACAATACATAATATCTTTACATTGTCAGAAGTGATTTCCAGCCTCTAAGGTTTAAAAAGATAGTATCAACAATACAGAAATAGCAAGCAAGGACTCATTCACTTACTGTATTGTTTTCTGCTCTAATTGTATTAAAGACGTTGTTCATCCGTACATCTTATACTTACTTAATACTCCCAACTTCTAAGTGCTTAACACACAAATAACACAGTATTGCAGATAATGGTAGTATCGCAATGTCACGTGTATCGCTGCAGACATTACGATAGTCATGTCCACCATTGCAGCAAAATGTGTACGTGAACTTTCTTGCAAGAAGTGGGAGTAGAAAAACACTCGGACTTACTGTTGTTCGCGAAATGTCTCATAAATGTACCCCCCACCCCCACCCCCACCCCCACCCCTATACTCCCATTCACACAACCCATCCCTATATCACACACCCGACCCCCATCCAATAATAAATGACAATGACAATGACAAATTGTTTATTTTAGTCTCATCGGATATACAGGTTATAGGCACATACATTATTATAAAAGAACACTATAAAGTATATCTGCCACCCACGGGTTATAAGAGACCATACATAATACATAGTAAATCAAATTGAGTTCAAACGTAGAAAAAACGCAATATAAATATATATGGTGTTATTGGTAGTGAGATTTTCTTCGGACAGCCATTTTGTAGCACATACTACCTAGTGTTGAAATAATATTATAATCATTTAAAATATATACAAGCTCAATATTATTATTTAAGTTGCCATTTGTGGGGTTAAATACTTGTGGAAGGTGGGTAACACGGATATCATCATAAAGTGAGCACTGGAGGAGAAAGTGAGTTTCATTTCTACACATCCAGGGAAATATTTACAAAAAACGTTGGTTAACTGGCACAGGAGGATTAGAATAACGTCCCAATTCAATCTCGAGCTTCATTGAACCGCATCTTAAAGATGATAAAACCGACCTTTTATAACGAGGAAGGAGGACATAAGGCTCTGTATAAATAGCTATTTTAAATGTTCTGTAGGTTCTCATTTTCGGTTTAGTTTCCAAGGATTGAAGCCAGGTGTCATTATCATTGGACTTGAATGAAAGTTCTATCCTAGATAAAACCCATCTTGCACTCTTTTCATAACATCTTAAAATATCTAAAAGTCCATATTTATCAAAAATTCGTTGAACTCTTTTATCCTATGAATTACCACACTGATAGGACCATTTGTGTATCTTATATGTAAGACTCCGTACGGGAAGACGTTCAAGCCTGCAAATTACCAGTCCCTTAAATGTAAAGGAAACAACACAATTTGAGAAGAACTGACATTGCATGCATTTCCCATTCAATTACACAAAAGTCCCACAGTGCAAACTTGTCAAAGATACACCCGTGAAGATACGGGGTAGAATAGGTCTTCAGCAACCCATGCCTGCCGTAAAAGGAAACTATGCTTGTCGTAAGAGGCGACTAACCGGATCGGGTGGTCAGGCTCGCTGACTTTGTTGATGCATGTCATCGACCCCAAGTGCGTGGATCGATGTTCATGATGTCAATCACAGGATTGTCTGGTCCAGACTCGATTATTTCCTGATCGCCGTCAAATAGCTGGAATATTGCTGAGTGCGGTATTAAACAACAAACGAAAGAATAATAACTCATCATAGATATGCAAGTGACAGCACTGGACACATATTTACAGTAAGACTATGTATAAAGAGCATCCTTTGTATGTAATAAAAGACATGTTTATAAAGAAAACCTTTAACTTTGGAAAACCTGGGAAGCAAATCTAAGAATATATATTTTCAAAACGTTGTTGTATAAAAATATCTTTGTAAGAAACTACGTCTCTATAAGACTATCGAAACTAAACACATACGAACCAATAATGGGAAAATGTAAGCTTGTTTACGCTGAGGGATATGGCTACAACATAAACACCGGATCAAAATTTGGATTTATTTTGCAAAAAATATTCTTTTATATGTTTTCGGCAGCAGAAGTCAGTGGGGGAGGGTGTGGATGATGGGGAGGGATATGGTCCTTTTCTGGAGATGGATGGGGTAGCTTTAGGTCGAATGGGTTCCGTTTGTGTGAGAAGGAGTTTTTTAATGTCCGATAATTTGGTATTCTTTTTCATCAAGAAGGCTACTTTCATGTCGAACCTTTTGTTGATCGTTTGGTCGAACGTGAACGTATTTAGACAATTACGACCTGTACAGTTTTCGTTCAAAAGTTGTATATCTGTTTTGTTGAGAGAATTCTCGATATCCTTTACAGCGTCAGTCACTGTTTTATACTCGACACTAAGAAGCTTTTGCTCCGACTCGTATCCTTTCCGAGCGATTGCGAACTCGCTGTCAATTTCATTTTTATACGTATCTTGGAGTTCGTTCAATTTTTGACGAACTTCTTGAAAACGCTCTATTGTTGACTCCACAGCTTTGTCGCGACTCTTTTCCAGCGACTCGATGCCGGACTTCAACTCTTGTCCCGCCACATCTAGAGATACCCTTGTGGTTTTCAGTTTTCCCAAGAGACCCGTCACACGTTTCCTCTCTTCAGCGGCTTCTGACTGAAGGGAGACAACTCCTTCACACCCGCGGTGATCGATCCCTGCACAAACGTGACATATCTTCACCTTGCATCCCCTGCAGTACAACACGACTGGGTTACCTGTGTGAGACTCACAAAGAACAGTATCCTCACTCTTCTTCTTCAGAGCTTGGACGAGATTCCTCACCCCAACATCAGTAGCGAAACTATCAACATTGATGGGGCCAGCGTGACTTGGTCGACTTTCCCAGCGACATACGGGGCAGGACACCGAACTAGATCCAGAGACCGTCCGAATTTGGATGTGTCTATTCAAGCATTCCCGACAAAATCTGTGAAGGCAGTGAAGTGCCTTTGGGTCAGTCAACAAGTCCATACAGATTGGGCACGTTAAGTCCTCGACGAGTGGGTCTTCATGATCCGCCATCTTGCATATATATCTACATCATAGTGCCCCACCATCCAACGTGTCAGGTGTATTTCTACTTTTGTTTTCTATTCATAGAAATGACGGCGAGCAGTCGACTGCAAGAGGGGTTAAACAAAATTGATAAAAGGGCATCTCTACTGAAACAGAATACAAATAGGTACTATTTTACCTAAGTCCATTGTCTTGATGGTCAAGAATCTATTGTCTTGGTGTGCTAGACTCTATTGTTTTGATGGACAACAGTCTATTGTCGTGATGTGAAAGCGTCTATTGTGTAAGTGCCAAGTATCTATTTTCTTGATGCGCAAGAGTCTATTGTCTTGATGTGCAAATCTTTATTTTCTTGATGTGGAATTATTGGAATTGATGTACAAGTGTCTGTTGATGTGCCCGAGCCTATTCTGGAGGGCGGGGCACCCGACCTGCAAAGACACTGAACGTTGTAGCATCAGGTCCTTGTATACTGCGATGGCTAACCCTAGACCAGGGTCCACTCGCACAGGATAACAAGGGTCCTTTCTAGCCACAGTTTGGAATATCAAATTGTAAAGTTGCCTACAATTCTGAAATGTTTGGGACTTATAAGACTTGGTCAAAGACTTCCTCTCTTTCATAGATTAGCAAACGCTTTTTTTTATGAAAACCCACAAAACCAGCTTATATGTTTTCAGAGCTGTCACAAGTGCCAATAATTTAATACATCTGATACCTTTTAGGATGATTTTCGTCAACCTTGATCCTGAGATCATTAAAATGCCTTGTCCTTTGTGTAAACACGTGTTTTCAGTGTAACGTTACGTTACCTGTACATGTGTCGCGGACAGATTCATAGCATAGCAACACACGGGTAGATTATGCACATTTCTGTGAAAATAGGTAGACTCGCCCATAGGCTGGAATATTATCAAGTATTCTTGCCACAACGAAATAACACACATAATCAGTCGATGTGATTTGTAATTATTTCAAACTTGTTCGACTTACACAAGTTTCTCAGGCAAAAAGTATTAGTTTAAATCATAATTTCTAGTTTATATAAATAATAAGAACAAGTTGCCCCTTTGAGAGAATGGCGTCCGCTTATCTAGACTAGCCTATTATAAGGATAGCATTTACTATACATCCATGGACTTATCATTCAGTACAGCCTTGGAGCCAGGCTACAAATCTGTCTTCCCTTACCTTAACTTATTATGAACTGTGGTTTCTGAATGTGTTTTTTTTTCATAATTCAACGATTACTATTATATATACACTGTCGCCCCTACACAAAAATGGTTACTGCCCAAAGGGATTCCGAGAATTACTTCCTTATTTGGACCACATGAGCTATTTTCAACACGGTCAATATCGCCGTCACGATAAGGGAGACTTTCATACCATTTACAGCCTTTGAAACGTACAGCTGTGTATTGCATTGTCGACAAGCAACCATACGTGTCATTCTTTGATGAATCTATCGTAGCCATTAGCATGCACACGTCTTGTTCTTGAGAGTTACAAAAGTGGCATTTTGTAACAATGTAAATAAACACAACCACCAGAACAATAAACTCAATTAACTGAATAAATTATTATTTGTAATTAAAATAAAACACATATAGGCCACTGTGTTTCAGAAAGGATCTTGACAAAGAAAAATTGCTTTTCAGAGACGTTCAGAGCATAATCAAGTCGCAATGGTCAAATCAAGTTTGTTTGTTTGTTGTTTAACGCCGCTCTCAACAATATTTCAGGGTGGAGTCTACTATCGCCTACAGTGCACTTTGCCTACAGTCACGCCTACATACATTGTAGCATGGTGTGGTAGTTTGCCTACAATAATAATAATAATACATCCCTAACTGACAAATGGATTAGTCCACTCACTATCTCGTTACAGGTTAAAAATTTCAAACAAAAATACTGTAACAACACTTCAAGATAAAACTTGTTACTCTCTGATCTTGTTATGTTGTTACAATGTATTTACCTGAGTATCTCTCATGAGAAGAGAGGAGCCAGCATATAATTAACAACAAAGTATAATATCAGTAACTGCAGTAGATCAACTGCCCCCCTGCCCCCGGCTTGCTGCGGCACTGGATTGACATCATGAGCATCGATCCACGCAATTGGGATACGGTGACATACATGAGTGAGTGAGTTGGGTTTAACGCCGCTTTTAACAGTATTCCCGTTATATCACGGCGTGTCAGCCTAATGTGGGAGGAAAGCCCGAAGTGACGCAGGTCTCAGACGTTTACCCCTTCGGTGAAACCCACGAGCACGGGTATGTTGCTAACAAACCTAGAAACATAATCGGGGTGAACCGGGATTCGAACCCACAATCATAGGTCTCTGGCGTGTCAAGGGGACGCAACTCTGCACAGCGAATCGCGGCGCCTCAGACGACTGGGCCACCCGTGCCCCCTTGACATACATGAACCAAGTCAGCGACCCTGACCACCCCATCCCTTTAGTCGCCTCTTACGACAAGCATGGGTTGCTGAAGAACTATTCTACCCCGGATCTTCACGGGTAGTATAATTAAGGTCAATATTTGACATAACACATATGAATAGAACATACCCCAATACTACACACATGTCAAATTGCATTTTATTCTGAAACATTGTTTTCAGTACAAGTGTGTCAATGGCTGCAACATAAACATTTGAATTTGAATACAAAGCGACAAAACCTTTTTTGTAATAAGAGATTAGAAAAAAATGGGTTTAACGTCGCGTTCAAGATTATTGCACTTACATAGCCACGTGATGCACGTGTGTGTACGCGTGTGTGCGCGTGGCTGCTTGTACTAGTCCAGACTAATGCCGATTTTATGGTGCTAGCCCACTGAGATACCATGCCGCAGTTTAACATGAATACCCCACTCAGACACAGTATACGGACTCCGAGCCGACCAGTCCTTGTTTTAGACCCTTAATACCGAGTGCCAGGCAGGGTGAAAACAAGTGCCATCTTTTAACGTCTTTTGTTAACCATAGTAAGAGATCTGTCCATGTACGATTCCGACTATCATAAGCATGAGTTATTACCAAAGCCTCTTTGATGTCAACAGATTCACGGCCATCCTTGGTAAGGACAAGCACGTGCAGGTTTTCAGCTTTATCATGATCAGTTCTGTGGTTTCTGACGGAACGACGTTTACAAACGACACCGACGACGGCCGAGCACCCAACAATGGAATGAGTTCACATGACTTTTATATTGATTTGTCTGGTCTGGGCTGACTAGCGATTCATTATACCACCATGATGAATCAGGAATCTGACGCTTCTGGTAATTTTTTCCATTCTTATTATTTAAATTTTATAATAATAATATGCCATTTGTATTGCGCATGTTGAGACGTCACTGAGGCCCATGCACGCTCTTATTACCCCGGTCACTGGATCAGTGTGCACTCAAAAATCATTCTCAACTCCCTGGGGAGTATACAACCCAAGCCGACTGCTAGGCCCATTCACTGCTGGGTGAACAGTGGCACTTGCCCAAAGAGATGCCACATGTGTACGTTAAGACGTTAATAAACTATTGTCTGTGTAACTCTCAGGAGCCAAGCTACCGAACCGCGGTCACCCATCCAAGATCTCTCCGCAACCAAAGTTGCCTATTTTCACCTGATTGTTTACCTGTGCACTGTGCACAGGACCACGTGCCACACATGAAAATAATTATGAATTAAAATAAATAAGCAAGTATTGGACAATTTGACAGTCAGCTCGCAGTGACACGAAATATATATTTAGTCAATCGATTACCGGTTTAGACACATATGCTACACTATCGGGCAAAAGAAAGTATACACCCATATTTGATGGTGGCTAAAATAAAAACAAACAAGAACAGTTTCGATGACTGTTTTCAGCCCGGTGACTTTTCGATAACCTTTGTAATATTATCATCAATTCAAACTTTCAAGGCAGTTTGGATCAAAGACAGACTTTTACCGCTAAATGTGAGCATATACTGTTCACGAGAATCAATTCAAATAATTTTGCTTTGAAAAAATTGAAAACGTACCGACAACACTAAGACTTACATGATGCAGGTCTTAGACGTTTACCACTTCGGTGGAAAAGAGACTCATGAATCATAATATCGTCAAAAAGGCAAAGAACGCATCGTTTTGTGAATAAGACCTAGAATGTGTGTTTTTTTAGACTAAGACCAAATTGTTTCCATTGAAACGCAACAAAAAATAATTCAGAAAAAATCAACATAGCAAAAGACACCAGTTAGGTTCATGAGCAATGCACATGCCAAGTTTCGTTAAAGTACGTTGGCCCAGAAACAAATCCTACTCTGATTTGAGACTGAGTCCAAATTGTTTCCATGGAAACATAAAAAATAAAATTTTGAACAATATACCAGTTAAGCTGGTTAGCAATACATTTGCCTTTGAAATACCACAGCTGTACGCTAATTTACACTCCGTTACATACCAATCACAGCAGACAATATCCTTTTTAAGGCATGCTTGTGTTTGGTCGAGTTTATAACTCATTTGTTTAGCTAGAAAGTTAATAGTAAAACACCTTTGCCGATGACGCATTGCCCTTACATGTTTTTCAGAGTGACTGAACGTATTGCACATAAACCCAGGTAACTCACGAGTGAGTGAGTTGGGTTTAACGCCACTTTTAACAGTATTCCAGTTATATCACGGCGTGTCAGCTTAATGTGGGAGGAAAGCCTGAAGTGATGCAGGTCTCAGACGTTTACCACTTCGGTGAAACCCACGAACACGGGAATGGTGCTGACGAACCTAGAAACATAATCGGGGCGAACCGGGATTCGAACCCACAATCATAGGTTTCTGGCGTGCCCAAGGGACGCAACTCTGCACAGCGAACCGCGGCGCCTTAGACGACTGGGCCACCCGTGCCCCAAGGGAACTCACGAAAAGTACCATGCTCTATCATCTTGATTACTCTTGTCATGTGTGTTCCTATTACATTTTATTTTTTATTTATTTCTTTTTATTTATTTTTTGATTTTTTTTTGGGGGGGGGGGGGGGGGGCAAATTACTATGTCCTGGGAGTGAGTACGGTTTTACGCCGCTTTAAGCAATATTCCAGCAATAACACGGCGGGGGGGCACCACAAATGGGCTTCACACATTGTACCCATGTCGGGAATCGAACCCGGGTCTTCGGCGTGACGAGCGAACGCTTGAACCACAAGGCTACCCGACCGCCCTGTCATTTCAGGGATAGATCCCCCGCAGTCTGATATCAAAAGTGCTTCATCTGTTTTGGTGTTGAGGGAATGTTCGACACACCTCTCAAAGGCTGTCAAAGTATCAAGTCTGTTAGGGATTACCACCTGATGTGGCTGGAGCTTGTCCCTCGCTATTTCCAACTCCCTCTCAAGTTCTCTCTTGAACGTTTCTTCACCATCTCTCAGGATATGAACGCGTTGGTACTGATGCACTGTCGACTGCTTAGCTTTGTCGCAACATTTAACCAAATTCTCCATTTTAACCTTCACGTCACTGTCCATCTTTTCCGTATATAGCTTCCAGTCTGTGATTCGTTTGAAGTGATCTGTCACACGCCTTCTCTCTTCAGCGGCTTCTGATTGAAGGGAGACAACTCCTTCACACCTGTGGTGATGGTTCCCGCAACACACATGACACATCTTCACCTTAATCCTCTACAATACAGAACGGCTCGTTCATCTGCGTGGTTCTCACAGTGAATAGTATCCCCATTCTTTCTTCCAGAGTTTGAATGATATGTTTCATCACAAAGTCAGAAGGAAAATCAACATGAAGGACAAACTTGTTAGCTCTTTGACTTTCGTGACGACACACCGGACACATAACTATGCCCCACTTTGTCTGCCTTTGCATGTAATCGTGCAATCCAGCATCTTCGGGTCGGTAAATATGTCAACCCGTGAAGATTCCGGGGTAGAATAGGTCTTCAGCAACCCATGCCTGCCGTAAAAGGTGACTAATGCAACCCATGCCTGCCGTAAAAGGCGACTAACGGGATCGGGTGGTCAGGCTCGCTTACTTGGTTGATGCATGTCATCGATCCCAATTGCGTGGATCAATGCTCATGATATCAATCACTGGATTGTCTGGTCCAGACTCGATTATTTACAGACCGCCATCATATAGCTGGAATATTGCTGAGTGCGGCGTTAAACAACAAACCAACCAACCAACGGTAAATATGTCGCTACAGATCGAACAGGTTAGGTCCTCGTCGAGCGGGTCTTCCTGGCCGGCCATCTTTGTTTGTAGAACGAAAGTGCAGACAGGCGTTTCCGGGAATCAGGGTAAAAATAGATACCCAGCAAGTAAATTGCTTGTCATAAGACGCGAATAGATGAAAACCTAATAGCCAACTGCACTGGGCAAGGCACATACATAGCACATAAGCTGTGAACTATTTGTTATGTCATACGCCTTGTGTGTTCACTGAACAAACTCGCTGCTGGATTCATATCATAGCAAGACATTGATATGACAGAATGTTTATCTCCGTTCTACCATGACGAGTTAAAATGGGACAAAATGACACAGCAGGACCTTTGGCTGTAAATAACCGAGGTGTTTATGCACATGTCTCGGAAATAGGTAGACTCACATGTTTGGGTGGAGGGTTATACAGTCTGTCATACACTCCTAAAACAAATATATCCAATTAGGCAAACTTAATAGTAGGAAAATGAAGACTCTCTGGGCTCTTTTATATTACATTTTATTAAGAAAATATAACAACTGTTTTTTTCAGTAAAAATCGTTTCAGAGACTAGATGTAAGTCTAAGTTATCACGTAATCTTGCCAAAAGGATAAAACAGAGCTAAACAGTCAATATGATTCGAATTTATTTAAAATCTCTCTGCTCTTACCTTAACCAATGATGCATTGACGTTTCTATAAGGTTTTGTTATAAAAATATTTCACCGAATACAATAATTTAATGAACTGTCCCCCCTTCACAAATGAGTACGGCTCTCAGGTATTCCGAGCATAACGTCGTTCTTATTAAACACAATGAGCTATTTCCATCACCGACGCTTGGGATACTTTCATGGCCTTTACAGCGTTCTGGAACAGAAGTTTGTTGTCGACACACAATCATGCGTATCCTTATCAGGTGAATTTTCTTATATCCATTATCAATCACACATATCTGATTCTTGACAATAATACAAGAGACAATTTGCCATATTTGTCAAAGGCCCGCGTTTGATTCCCCACATGAGTACAATGTGTCAAAAGCGTCGTTATATTGTTGGAATATTGTCGAAAACGTCGTAAAATCATTCACTCACCTAGAACAAACATGTGGTTTGAGTGAGTAAGTATTGTTTTACGCCGCTTTTAGCAATATTCCAGCAATATCACGGCGGTGGACACCAGAAATGGGTTTCACACATTATACCCATGTCGGGAATCGATCCCACGTCTTCGCTTTAACCTATAGGCTCCCCGACCGCACCCGTAGTTTGAAATACACTGATTTGACGATGATATTATCTGAACATTAAGATAGTGTTTCCTTCTGTACCAACTTTAAGTAAATCACATAACATTTCTGGTGTGCAAGTCAAACCAACCAATGTTCGCAATAGATACGATTAAAACAACACACAGACCCGTGAAGATCCGGGATGGATTGGTCTTCAGCAACTCATGCTTGCCGTAAAAGGCGACTAACGGGATCGGGTGGTCAGGCTCGCTGACTTGGTTGATGCATGTCATCGTGTCCCAATTGCGTGGATCGATGCTCATGATGCCAATCATTGGATTGTCTGGTCCAGACACGGTTATTTACAGACCGCCGTCATATAGCTGGAATATTGCTGAGTGCGGCGTTTAACAACAAACAAACAACACATACACTAGAAAAACACACAGTCTTTAATTTTATATACACCCATAGATTACATTTCAACCAGAATCTAAGATTGGATTGCTGATCTGGAAAACTAACCGAGGACTGTCAAGACAAGATGAACTAACATTTAGTCCCCGCAGTATAGTTATGTATAAGATTAAATAATAAATATGAATGAATAATTCTAATAAGAACACTTAAATTAAGGAGCTGAAACGAACGTGAGAACAGGCTGCTAGAGCTTGGATAGGGGTAGAATTGGAACGGGGGATGATTGTTTAATAATACATAATGCTCTTGGGTTGGTGAGAGAGCTTACCTACAAGAGTGCAGACAGTGTGACATACATCGTCACATGCATATAACATAAACCACGAATCATGTTTCTCTGAACACACGTACACGTTGGTTCATAGTTGCCATTCAAATATTTCCCCATGTGAGAAAAAGCATCAATGAAGCAGTGTTTCCGAACCAGGCTCACCATGCGTGTAAATAGAAGATTCTGGTTTATTATCACATCACCATGGCGACGGAAATGTCTTGGCATCTTGAGGATGCTTACTATCCGTTTAGAGTCCATAAATGTCTTGGAATTATTGAGGCAAGAGTGGTATAGTCAGCCTTAGACACTATGTTTTAAGACTAGTCCAGAAGACAAGTGTAAACCATATTTCACTGGTTCTCCAAGTTTTCAACTGTTTACTATGTGTATATTTTCTGTCAGTTTTATTTAATTTTAATTTGTAGCAAAATTAAAAGATTGTTTGTTTGTTGTTTTACGCCGCACTCAGCAATATTCCAGCTATGTGAGGGCGGTCTGTAAATAATCGAGTCTGGACCAGACAATCCAGTGATTGACATGGGGATACGATGGCATGCACCAACCAAGTCAGCGAGAATGAGAATGACAGTCGCCGCTTACATCCAGCGATAAAGCTTACGATACACGGAAAAACATTAATACAAAATAGATAGTACATTTGCATATATAATATGTACAACTTCGTGATCTTAATGTTTGTTGGTTGTTGTTTAACAACGCACTCAGCAATATTCCAGCTGTATGACGGCGGTCTGCAAATAATCAAGTCCGGGACAGTCAATCCAGTGATTGACATCATGCGCATAGATCCACACAATTGGGATACGATGACATGCATCAACCAAATCAGCGAGTCTGACTACCCGATCCCGTTAGTCGCCTGTTACGACAAGCAGAGTCGCCTTTTACGGCATACATGAGTTTCTGAAGACCTATTCTTACCCAGATCTTCACGGGTCCATGATCTTATGGATAAATGAAATCACATCCTTATTTCTGGTTTGCGTCTGGACCAGTTCCCTGGGCAGAATATTCTCCAGGTGTTTCCCTACTTCATCCAGTTTCGCCATCTTGACCACACAGTGTATCTGACTCGTATAGGTCCCGGGAATAATAGCCGTGTCGGATAATTCTTCGAGATACATGTATGTACGCTTTCGTGCTTGTCGTTGTGATGTTTCCATGAAATCCACATCTGACCTCATATTGATCAGTCTCGTTAATTCCATTTCAGCTGAAGAGGATCCGTTGATGTGCCTTCTTTCAACCGTTTCTTTTCTATCTAGTGGTTTGCGCCTGTTGGCGAACTCAGTTGCAAGTCGGCAATATATTTTCTTTTCCTCCTGATCCACGCGACTTCTCACTTTATCAAATTCCTTTTTAACGCTATTTTCTGTGTCCTCTTGCATTTGCCTTAATGCACTTTGTTCGTTTTCTATAAGATCAACTCGTTCCTCGGCTTTCCTTATTCCTTCATTCAATCTTTCAACTCGTTTGTCATACCTACGTCGTCTGCCATCGGCTGCCTCTTCAAGGGAGACAACTCTTTCACACCTCCGGTGCTCGACTGCCGCACAGACAAAACAGATGCACAGTTCACAGGCACGGCAGTACGCGAGCACCTGTTGTTGGGGGTGTTTCGGACAGGTGTCTACACCTTCGCGTAACTCCTCACAGATTGAGGCAATTACAAAATCTGTTGGAAAATTGTCTGCCCATTTCTCCGTCGTCATAGAGAGCGTCCAGTTCTGGGGCTTGCTCGGGTGTCGACACTCTGGACACGTCAAACCGAACATCGTCACATCCTTTGACTTGATGTAGTCGGCGAGACAGGCTTTGCAAAACCTATGAAGACATGGCAATATTTTTGGTGTATCAAAATATTCGTGACAGATTGAGCAAGTAACTTGCTCTCTCAGCTTTGAAACCACGTCCGCCATTTTCAGTTTAGTATGTCCTATCTATTAATAGTGCTTACGTCTATCGATAAATCATTGTGATTAGGCCCAATCCAATGAAATGTGTGTTTCCGGTTTCCGGACCAATCATTATCTGGAGCCGATGACCAAAATCGTTTTCCTCGAGATGCACCATAGCTTTTTTCACCATCCAGGTATTGTCCTTAATTAATACCACAAGCTCAAATAAGTTGCGCGTCACTACAGGTAAACTATTTATAATCTTCATTTGAATACAGCTTTTACTGCCATACTGAGGGGTGGTCGGGTAGCCTTGTGGTTAAAGCGTTCGCTCGTTCCCGACATGGGTACAATGTGTGAAGCCCATTTCTGGTGTTGTGCACATATACAATAACAAGGATTATCAGCATGACTAAACCGGTATTGCACGAACTGTCAATCATCGGACATTCCACGACAAAGCAACTGGGCAACAGTTGCCTCCCTTTGCACAGGTACAAGCAAGCTCCTCACAGCGATAGTACTTTCCCGGAGCTCTCTATACTATCGCTGCCACCAGTCAAAACTCCCCACTGTGAATAGGTGGCCACAACCATGCTTGGAGTTAAACTCGCAACCGAATGACCGTTATGTTTACAAACAAGTGACGACTGTCGTGACGCCGAATACACTTATCGCTGCTAAATTACTTTCTTCGTTTGTCAATTTGAATTTCTGTTTCATTAAAACTATCGTGTTATTGATATAGTAAGAATGTAAGGGAGAAGTTGGTTGATTTTCCGTTTGTCTGCAATCTCGAACCAATCTGATTATCAAAACAACAAAGTAAATTCATCTGGAAAACATGGTCAGTCGTAAACCTTTTCAAATTGAAATATGATGGCATTCCCAAAGACATAAACAAAAGTATAAACGTTACTACATATGGGGTTGGAGGGCAAATTTCAAGATACTTGAAATGGCCGCGCCCACACTGGTGGCAGCGATGTTACCGAGAGTGTAACGAAGGTGTCACGCGCTGGGAAGGAGCTTGAGGTACAAGGCACAGACAGTTGTCCCCATTTACAAAGGTACAAGGCACAGACAGTTGCCTCCCTTTACACAGGTACATGGCACAGACAGAGCGCTGGCGATATTATTCGTATCGTAATGTTTGTTTGTTTGTTGGTAAACGCAGCACACAGAATATTCCAGCTATATGACCACGGTATGTAAATAATCAAGTCTGGACCAGATAATCCAGTGATTGACATCATGAGTATCGATAACATACATCAACCAGGTCAGAACCAGATTGGAACCCACACTTGCCAGAGTGTGGCACCTAATCGCCAGCACACAAAGTCAGCGATCAACCCACTTAGCCACCGAGGCTTCAACAAAAATTAAAGTCTGACAACTGGTAGTCTAGATCACGTACTTTGTATACCCCTCTGACAAGTGTAAATTGGCACGGCTCCCACGGCCTGAAGCATGTCATCGTATCCCAATTGCGAGGAGGGGGCGGTCGGGTAGCCTAGTGGTTAACGCGTTCGCTCGTCACGCTGAAGACCCGGGTTCGATTCCCGACATGGGTACAATGTGTGAAGCCCATTTCTGGTGTCCCCCGTCGTGATATTGCTGGAATATTGCTAAAAGCGGCGTAAAACCATACTCACTCACTCCCCAATTGCGAGGATAGCAGCTCATGATATCAATCACATACAGTACATGCAGTACGAGGGATGGCTGAAAAGTTCTGAGCCAAACAATGATGGACAGCGTTGATGGAGTGTGTGCTAATCATTTTTCAACGTTATACCCTACGAGTGAGTGAGTGAGTGAGTTTGGTTTAACGCCGCTTTTAACAGTATTCCAGTTATATCACGGCGTGTCAGCTTAATGTGGGAGGAAAGCCCGAAGTGATGCAGGTCTCAGACGTTTACCACTTCGGTGAAACCCACGAGCACGGGCATGGTGCTGACAAACCTAGAAACATAATCGGGGCGAACCGGGATTCGAACCCACAATCATAGTTTTCTGGCGTGCCCAAGGGACGCAACTCTGCTCAGCGAATCGCGGCGCCTCAGACGACTGGGCCACCCGTGCCCCCGTAATACCCTACGAAGTCCACCTCCGTCTGGTTACGATGCTGTATCACATTTACGTTATGAGCCCTGGTGGTTATAACCGACAACTCATAGCTCGTCATACAACCACATCAATACTCCAATGCATGTACACGGAAATGGAAATGCAACATGACACATCAAAGGAAGGAATGTGACTGAACTGATTAGGAAAACATGATTGACAGCTTGTTATCCCTGCTGACTGAAACATGACACGGTGCATCGCAAGCCAATTTGTGTATATAGCACTCGCGCATAATACCACTGCTGGTCAAGATAAAATAATCACGCCGATATGATATTTATAAAATAGTGTATTAATAAGATGGTAAAATATAATGGTACGCTCAAAATAAGAAATTTTGGTCGTACCTTAAAGAAAATTCGAGTATATATGGCAGTGTTGTCAATACACCAGATTCACAATGACGAAGTTGCTGGTTTGATACCTTTCCTATTGAACATTTTATACGAATAAATATTATGACTTACATCGAACCTTTGAATAGCTCTCCAGACATGCGCAGTGCGGACACAATTTGGTGCAATGACTCATATTGTATCCACAACATCGGAAGGCCAAAAAAGTGATATTTTCGGGTCATTTGGTTTGGCCTAGCATGGAGCGTCATGCAGTTTGTATGCTCGTTTGGGGAAATCAGGTTAGGGCTAATTGGGAAAATAAAGTTGTTGTGTGTTGTTTAACGTCGCACTCAGGCAATATTCAGGCACTCGCAATATTCAGGCAATATGACGTCGGTCTGTAAATTATCGAGACTGGACCAGACAATCCGGTGATTGACGTGATGAGCATCGATCTACACAATTGGGATACGATGACATGCAATCAAACACGTCAACAAGCCTGACACCCGATCCCGTTAGTCGCCTCTTGCGACAAGCATGGCTTGCTGAAGACCAATTCTAACCCTGATCCTGAGGCCCACAGTTGGTTGGTTTGTTGTTTAAAGCCGCACTCAGCAATATTCCAGCTATATGGCGGCGGTCTGTAAATAATCGAGTTTGGACCAGACAATCCAGTGATTGACATCATGAGCATACAACCACACAACTGGGATCGATGACATGCATTTAGTACCGACAAACACAGTTTTGGTTTTGGTTTGTTGTTTTACGCCGCACTCAGCAATATTCAAGCTATATGACGGCGGTCTGTAAATAATCGAGTTTGGACCAGACAATCCAGTGATTGACATCATGAGCATCCATCCACACAACTGGGATCGATGACATGCATTTAGTACCGACATACACAGTTTTGGTTTTGGTTTGTTGTTTTACGCCGCACTCAGCAATATTCAAGCTATATGACGGCGGTCTGTAAATAATCGAGTCTGGACCAGACAATCCAGTGATTGACATCATGAGCATCGATCCACGCAACTGGGATCGATGACATGCATCAACCAAGTCAGCGAGCCTGACCACCCGATCCCGTTAGTCGCCTTTTACGACAGGCATAGTCGCTTTTTACGGCAAGCATGGGTTGCTGAAGACCAATTCTACCCCGGACCTCTACGGGTCGCCATACACAAGTCGTATCGTATCGTTGATAATTAAATTTGACATCAATGGCATGTACTTCACTCATGTGCCTCCATGAATGTCACCGTTACATACACAGATGAATTGCAGGCCCAACGTATCACCAGTGAGACGTGCTGTACCTGTCGCCGTCGCTCACAAGGCTAGGCCTGTAGTCATGGCCGCCGTCGCTGTAGGTCAAGTCTGTTTGGTACATGAATCATTCACGATTGGTATTGCAGGTCACGTCTATCCTGAACTGTAATTAGTGAACGCAAGCCGGCTAATTAGATCTACAGGAGGCACGCCTCTCTATAATGGTATGTATGACATTGTGTGTTTCGCCTTAGTGGTTTCATGGGTATTCATGATTGTGGTCACATGCCTACATAAATAGTTGAATCCCGAGTTAGAGACCTACTCTTCACATGACCCGCCACCCCCCAAAAATATACATACAGTCAAGTCTCATTGATTCGACACTAGTTAATCCGACAATCGGCTTTATCCGACACAAATAATTGGAACCGATTAAATCAGTGCTATTAAGACCCGTTAATCCGACAGTCTCGCACTCCGACTCCGACACACCTACTTTAAAACGAATTGCTGAAATCACTCATTAATCAGTCTCGTTAATCAGACACAGTGTCCAGCGTACTCTGTGGTCATCTGCCCGTCATCTGTATGTCTGCAGCAGTTCAAAGGTTCGATGTCAGACATGCCCTGTTACACACCCTCCCCACCCCACCCCACCCAACCCTACACACACCTGAAACTCCTTCCTAACACGCTGTGGCAAAGCTGTAAAACTGATTGTGTAAAACAACATTCAATCACTTCCGTTTCACTATCATGATAACATGTAGAGACCTACTCTTATATTTCATATGTCTCGTCTCATTGAGTTATTGTAAGCTGTTTGCTAATGCCCAAAAGGAAACGACGCTTCAACCATACGATTTAGATTTAATTTTTTGGGTGAAGATATTGAGTATGTTTGTTCGTTGTTTAACGTCGCACTTGGCAATAGTCGAGCTATATGACGGCGGTCTGTGATAATCGAGTCTGGACCAGACAATCCAGTGATAGGCATCACGAGTATCCACTATGATACGATGGGGTAGCCTAGTGATCAAAGCGTACGCTCGTCACGCCGAAGACCCGGGTTCGATTCCCCACATGGGTACAATGTTTGAAGCCCATTTCTGGTGTCCTCCGCGGTGACATTGCTCGAATATTGCTAAATCGGCGAAAGAACATAATCACTCACCAATAGATGGGATTAGATAGTTGTTCTGGATTAATAAATATTTTTTTCGATGAAATCACAGACCACCACCACCACGCCTAAAATATCAAATGGTCTGTCAATGATTGATTGGCCGAACGTTGATCGTATTTCCTTAGAGAACAGAAATATCACAGAAATCTTACCCACATGCTGCAATTAAATTGGCTCCACTCATTCCAACATCCATTTTCATTGGAGGTCAATGGTATTTCCGTCCATTCTTAGTTTGTAAGCGTATAAAGGCCGAAAAATACCTGAATGGACCACACAGCACACGTTATAATGTACCGCACGTACATATGTGTATCAAATCGTTGAAAAGAGCAAACTCCACAAAGAAATATAGACGCAAAGCAGCATCTAATGATGAAAGTCACGGTTACATCCCGGTGTACTGTTATATTTGACGATACTTCGTCTGGTACTGGAAACGACAGCCACTAATATCGCCGAAGACTACACACATAAGAAAAAGTGCACGATGCTACAAATAGCTGCC